CTCTTATTGATGAAGCACTAAGTAAATATTTTGGGCCCATCGCATTATGTTTTACATAAGCATTTGATTTTATTGCATTTTTTTTTGAAATAACTCTTAGTTAGTCTTGGTGATAGATTTGACATCTAGTCAGCATCTATCATCGGCGCACGTCACATTTTGGGTCCACTAAGGTGATTCGGGACAGGTCGTGTCAAAGTGGTATCAGAACATGGTTTATAAAGTTTTGAAAGTCTTCATAATTCAAACATTGGCATATCATGCATTATTCAGTGTGTGGTGGTTACATGTCGTGGTGATAGAAATCACTGGCTCTCTAGCTCGAATGTAAGGAACAAAAAATAGTAGAAAAATATTTTTTAACAAATTTAGAAATGACTCGTATGTAAGTATGGTAGTTGTAATGATCTGATGGTTGGAAATGTTATTAGTTGTTGGGTTGGAACTATGTATATATATAACCGATTAAGATTTGAATAGATTGTGATGATTTTGCGGGGCATTCGAAATTACAGATGTTACAACCACTAAATTATCAATTTATATGTAGAACTTCATGATTTTTTTTATTTGTACATAAAAAAATTTTTAGTTATAGCTTACACGATAAATACAAGGAAATGATATGATGTGTGATTGGTGAAAATTAGTGAGGAATTTTAATTATTTTTGAAGCCAAATGGTCTTTGGTGTTATCAAATTTTGTGGTGATTTGTGGCCACTTATATGGGATGATAATGGAAATCATGATGATGTATATTTATGCTATATGATAAGAAATTGTGGAAGACAAAATGATGATTTGTTGATTGATAGATGACAATGTGTTATTGTATATTTTAGGCATTAAGGAAATTAATGGTAATTCCAATTATTTCGATTATTTATGAATTTTTTGATTACAAGGAATGTGAGAATAGCATGGATAAACTTCATAATGATTACCTATTATGGGGTGATTTGCTACTTTAAAAATAGAATTAAATGGATATGTGCATTTAGGTATGTTATGTGGGAAAAAAAAATTTGAGAATGGTAGAATCAAAATTTGTTGAGATTGGGAAACTAACATGCGGTATATTGATGTGTGAAATGTTCATGTGATAAATATAAATGTTATTATCTTGTAGTATTAAGAAAAATTGATATAATTAAATATTTTAGGTCATAGAGTATGACGATAAATGACAATGTTACATAATCATAACATGATATGGTGAATAGCATGTAAATGAATATAATGGTTGTCCTTTAGCAAAATAATGTGATGATAAATTTGGGTTACTAAGTTAATTAATTTCGTTAAGGCCATTCATTGGATTATTGTGTTACATTCCGTACAATTTGGAAGCGTTGAGTTAAATTTTGAAGTTAAGATGAATTTATTGAAATTTTAGTAATGTAATTTTTGGGCTATTTTCAATTGTATGGATCACGAACAAAGTATTCCATTTTCATCAAAATATATTTGTTAAGGAATATAAGTAGGACATGTTGGATTTGGATATTTCTAAAATTTAAGATGATCATCAAATATAGATTTTACTCATTGTGAAATAGTATCTTTAGGTTACATTATCTCAATTAAAGGTCTTTATACAATATACAAAAAGGATTATGCATTGACTATAGATCAACGATCTATTTATGAAATAAGAGTATAGATTTTCATGGATTAAATGTTATTATTGTCCATTCATAGAAAGAGTTTTGCCATCAGGAAATATTGAAAAAATATTTGCTCTGATATCTAAAGATGATAACCGATTGATTCACGATAATAATTTATGTTATGGTGTAGAAAATGTTCTCTAAGTAGAATGATAAAATATGGATTATGTTGTAGATTGATAAAGAGATATGATTAAATCATGATATATGGTTTGTTATATTGGGATTGACATTTAGGAATTGTGGCGTTATCATATGGTGGGAAGATCAATACTTACGGACCACGTGAGATTAAGGTATATTTATATTCAAAAAGGAGCTGAACTTGAAGCTGTGTATATATTATCGTTAGGTGATAAAATGAAAAGTTAAAAATATCACATATTTATATTAAGATGATATTTAAGGTATCGATTCAACATGTATTCCATATGTTCGAGGGTTAGTAAATGGACGTTAGATTTAACTAATGCTATAAGGTCATTAGTGGAGTTGGTTGAAAATCTTACATGTGAAGAAAAATCAATTCGGATCTTGGATAGGAAATGAATAGATTTTGTGCAGAAAGTCTATTCTACTAGTTAAAGTTTGATGGATAAATCATTATATATATATATAAAAGAGGCATCCCGCAAGTATTCAAATATATGCTCTGTCTCTTTGTGTTCGAATCCTAGTTGATTGAATTTCAAGGACGAAATTTTTTGAAGGAGGTGAGATTGTTATAACCCACTCACTCATAGTCAAAGTCAAGAAAATTATTTAGTCAAAGTCCAAAATTCAATTGGTCAAAGTCAATGTCAAATAGGGATTTAAATAAAATAAATTATTTTATTGGGGTTTAATTTATTATGAAATAATAGTTAAAGATTTAAAATGGATAAAACTTAATTTTAGGGATCTACTTAGATATTATTGGAAGTAAAGGACTAGATGTTATATTAAATTGAAGAATAAGGACTTCCTTTGCAAAAACAAGTTAGTGGAGTCCAAATGTCCAAATTTTAATCCCATTGTCTTGACTCTTCATTTGCATACATATGTATAGAAGAATTGGAGACGACAGGGAAGAAGATCCGAGAGAAAGGAAGAAAAAGAGAAAGAAAAGAAGGGGAAAAAAAAAAAAAAAAAGAGGAAGAAGAAAGAAGAAAAAATAGAATTTTTTTGTCAAGTTGTTAGAAAATAAGTGGTCTACACTATTAGGCTTGAATACCTCAATTTTGAAAGGTAAGTAAAAAGTTACTTATTGTCAAGTTATGTTTAATTTTATAATTGTTAGGTTTTTAGACTAAATTCAATTTTATTGAAGGGGTTAAATATAATAAACTATGAAATTGAGTAAAGTGAAAGAAAAACTAGTTTTCGTTATTAAAGAGACTGTAGAAATCGCCTAAACGTGAAATGATTAAGTTTGGGTATCGCCTATTTAATTATTGAAATTATTTAAAATAATTAATTGTTTATTTAAAAATTATATCATATTTCAGGCGACGATACTGACATCAAAACAGCTTACCAACCAGGTTGATTTTGTGAACATAGTACTGTGAGTGGAAAAATATAAATATTTTTAAAGTATTTATAAATTAAATATATTGTTAAAGTATGTATAATTATATGCAATTATGTGTTCGAATTACATGATTATCATAAAAATATCTTTTATTATAATACATGTGGGATTTCGAAGATTGTATACGTTACATTGTGAATTGGAATATGAGATACGATTTTGAGATCGACCAGAAAAATACTCGTGATGATATATTTCTTCTAACTCACTGAGGAGTCTTTGACCGGGGATGAAGGGCTCTCGATCGTGTTCATATAGTTCACTGAGGGGCTTTGGCCGTATTCTAGAATTGATTATGAGAGGTCTTTGAGACCGACTTTCGTTCATGGAGGGGCTAAAGGCTCGTGATGAAAGTTTTTAACCCGAGGGGAGGATTATATATTTTAGTCAGAGAGTACATTTTGGTGGATTTTTTTAGCACGTTTGATGTGATGAGATTATAGCGTGGTAATCAGCTGATGTCTATATCATGATTTTAAGATGATATTTTATGAGTTTATGTGAATATTTCACTTTTTTGACTATAATTATATGATGTTATCTTGCGAGTTATCAATGATATAGACTCGATTTTCGATAAAAATGAAAAAATGAAAAAAGTATAATTATTTTCGAACTTCTCCACTTACTGAGCTATCAACTCATATGTTTTTCCACGATTTTTTCTACAAGTGGAAATTGATCATTTTTAGCTGGAAGAATCTAATGATTTCGGAATAAGAGTCACACGACATGTTGAATATTATAACTCATATTGATGAAACACGAAGTAAATATTTTGGACCTATCGCATTATGTTTTACATAAGCATTTGATTTTATTGTATTTTTTTGAAATAATTCTTAGTTAGCCTTGGTGATAGATTTGACATCTAGCCAGCATCTATCATCGGCGCACGTCACGTTTCGGGTCCACTAGGGTGATTCGGGACGGGTCGCGTCTGTTTTTTTTTTTTTTTTTTTTTTTTTTTTTTTTTAATTTTTTGAAAAGGCCAAAAAGAAAAAAAATCCCTATGTTTAAATTTTTTTTTTTTTTTTTGTTATTTTTAATGTTTTGATAAGGCCTAATAGTAAAAACATTCCTACGTTTCAATTTTTTTTTTTTTTTTTGTTATTTTTAATGTTTTGATAAGGCCTAATAGTAAAAACATTCCTACGTTTCAATTTTTTTTTTTTTTTTACATTTTTATCCTTAATTTCACGTTTCATTGTGGAAAACGTCATTTTCACCAATTTGAAAGGAATAGACGTTTTACACACTATATGCTAAACTTAGGAACGTTTTATGCTATATTAGGCCTTTTAATAATTATTTGGACTCGCTTGCATTTTTAAAAACATTTAAGAGTGTAATTTATTTTTTATTTTTCTTTTTTTTTTAAATGGGAGGATATTTTGATCATTTTACATAAAAATGACATTCAACGCAAAGAAATGTGAAAGGTAAGAACAAAAATATCAAAAAATGAGAGGTATGGGCATTTTCTACAATAAACTTAAAAGGTATGGAAGTTTTATGCCAATTACCCTTTGAAAAATGTGTGATATAAAAAAAAAAATGAATTTACGTTTAATAAAATGCTTTAAATTAATGGAGACCAAATAATAGTCCCGTCCTTTCCATACAAGTTCTCGGAAACACTCATCACATGCCCTGGTATAGTCGGACAACTTTACCCTTCCAGAACAAGTCCGCCCCAAAGAAACCAACAGGCAATTTCTTGATCATTAAAAAACCAAGCCAACCCCCACGGGTCCTTTCCGAAATCTCACTGTCTCTTAGTTGTCCAAAATGCCAACACCACCCCGTCCCCCTTCTTGGAAACACCATTCTTTCTCCTATAAAAATTCCACTCCTCAATACACAAATCATCCCAAAACAATCCCATTTCTGACCCCAAAAAAAAAAGCTTTAAAAAAATCCCATTATGGCATCAAAAATTCGGCCCAATTTTCAAGATTTCTTGCCTCTCATGGTGGAGAAGCTCGGCGGGGACGGTCTAATAGCAGAACTGTGTAATGGGTTTAATTTATTGATGGATTCTAGCAAAGGGGTTATTACTTTTGAGAGTCTTAAAAGAAATTCTTCTTTGCTGGGATTACAAGATTTGTCAGATGATGATCTGTGTAGCATGCTTAAAGAAGGTGATTTTGATGGAGATGGGGCTCTCAATCAGATGGAATTTTGTGTTTTGATGTTTAGATTAAGCCCTGAGTTGATGGAGCAGTCTGAGTTTTTCTTGGAGGAGGCTCTTCAACAAGGAGAATTCCAAGATTTTCATTTGTAATAATTTTCATTTTCTTTTTTCTTTTTGGGCAATTTTAGATTTTCATTGTTTAATGCTGATTATTAATTTAAAATACAGACCTTCACAAGGAAACGATTGTGATTTTCGACGAACAACCTCCAATTACAGCACTTATTGTTATACCATTGCAGCTTGCTCTCAAACCATACCATGTTACATGTCTTTGATTTTTTGATTAAATGTATGAAACAATATTGGATTTTCTTCGAATCTTCTACATTTTATTCTTCGGACTCAACTAAATTAAATTTATGTTTTATTCATTATTTCGATGCTCATTAGTTAGTATCAGACCTGACATTACGCTCTTAACAATGTCTTCGAGACAACAATCGGTTGATCATGAAGATCTTTCAAAACAAATTCGGTGACAACACACCGATGGACCAACAAGAATTCATCATCATGCAAGTGCGTTCGGTGGTTTGGATTCTCGACTCGTGCGCGTAGGCTAGTTAAAGGATCGAATGAATTGTGTAGATTCTTCCAAGGAGTATGGCGGCTAGAAGAGCATTCGCTAGATGAAAGCAGCCAAATCCATCAAGAGAGACTAGTGTAGGAAATAGTTTTGGATATAATGTTACGATGGATTACAACACAGATTTTTTTTTTTTTCGCTCCATTCAATTTCAAATTAGAGGTTGATTCATGTGAAGAACACCATGAACCATCAATTTTCTATGAGTTTGATGTCGAGATTTCCAAGGAGTGTTCAGAGGGTAACACTAGACTTATAATAGTGGTGTCAAGTTCTTGTTGACTTCGAAAAGCAATGAGATGAAGTGGTTATACACAATGATCTATTAGACTAGGCATGGAGAAGCCATATACATATTTGCTTGGTATGTTGGATATTTCTTATTATGGTATACAGAGTGAATTGCCATCAATACTAGGCAATACATCAAGAAATGAGGCAAGATTCGATTCCAACCACAAGGGAAATGACAAAGATCACATGTGAGTTAGTTTGGCTGAAGGTTCAACGTCAAGATGCCCAAGAATGACAGCACAAAAATCAGTATAAGATCATTTTCAAATTTGCACCAAAATTTGATGTAAATTTTGCAGCTTTTGCACTAAATCTCGCACCTCAACTGAAAATCATTTCCAGCTCATTACATCAAACGTTGCATCAAAATGAATAATTTTTAATTGTTTTCTTCATGTCTTCATTCATAACGATTTATGTATCTAAAAAATTAATTATTTATTTATTTTACTAGTTAAATTACTAAATAATTAATTATATTTTGTTAACAAAAATATTGAATAAATTAAAAAAATATAGTACAATTAATAGTACTAAAAAATAATATAACTATTGTTACGCCCCTATCTGAACCACCTCGGAATGTCCACCTCCACACACTCCGATCTGGTACACACCCACTCGAAGTGGTTTCGAAGTGATCTCCCAAATGTCAATGACCTGCTATCACACTGCGAGACATAGGTGATCCTGCTGAACTGATCGAAGCGTGCACTCCAGGGACCTCTGTCAGAAGATCCGCCGCCAATTTCAGAAGGAGATCTTTGCCAAGATCCTTTCTGCCCCTAAGGTTTAAATTGATTTGACGTCTCCATAAGGCTAGTTGATGTGACTTATCAACTTTATGTTAACTCAACTCGGGAAAAGCAATTACCCGCCCACTCTTCAGACGCGACTGATTGACGCCTATGAGCAGACACCTCATACCGTCAGATGTATACAAGTACCCCATATCCAATGCTTCATCCCACCTATAAATACTCAAGGGTTGGTAAGAGGCAAATGTAATGAAACTCTTATTACATAGCACTCCATAGCAAGCATATATATATTTTCTCCTTCCTCTTATTATTTTGCACAACCTCTGAGTACTGTTCCGACCACCTGAACCTGATTTGACCGTCGGAGTGTATACGGCCGTCACCACCCCCGTTGGTCCAACCATGTGTGTCTGACTGTGCGTTGATTGTCCACAAGGAGGAATATGTGGAGTAGCTTTCGGTTGGCCACGTAGAAGGTCCAATTTTTGAGGTCAACAAATTGGCACCGTTTGTGGGAAGCACTTCCCGTTCAAAGTTCTGCATTCTCCACCGGAGAAATCACCGAAAAACTAGTGACTAACCCTGAAAAGGGCACGTTCTTGAAAAAGAACAAAGCCAAGTTATAATCTAAGTTCTCACCACCCTTGAAAAAGGAGATTGGATGAGTTATAGCCATGAAGAGAACAACCCCATGAGAAAGGCCTCTGAAGAGTAGGTGCTCCATAACAATGTTACTCACCAGAGACCCTATCACCAGCGTCGCCGAGATGAAAGAACAGCCATGTTCACTGAAGGAATGACTCAAATAGCTACAGGCATGAGAGACATCGCAACTCAGAATATGGCAATGCATGAACTTCTCATGCAAGCTCGAGGTCACCAGGGCTCTCAAATGCCCCAAAGATCTTACCCAGTTCAGAAAGCCCCAGTATCTCGTTCTCGAGGCCACACCAGTCAGCACAGAGAACGCCTTCTCGAAAGAAAAGTGGGAGCCGAAGCCACATCTTATGTGCAAGGGAACCAGCCATCAAAACCACACTTGGGGGGTCAATTTTCCTCAAGAATATGAGGAACAGGGTTCGGTAAGCGTCTTCGATCGAATAGGAGAGGATCCTAGCAATAAGGTCCACCCAGTGAGAAGATCAGTTCGGCCAGGTCAGGAACAAGAACAGACTCCTCCTCCTCCTCCTAGAAATAAGAGGGACAGGAGGAACCTAGTCGATTGGGGGAGTGAGGAAAAGCACCTCCACCTCCCCAGAACATTATGATGAAGGGTCAGATGGGTCCTGTCGGTCTTATGAGATTGAGGATGATGATGATTACGTCCCTTTCTCAAGAGAGATCCTAAACTTCCCAATGTCAGCAAATTTCATGCCCCCTAAGATCCCCAAGCATAAAGGAAAGGGGGATCCGGAGAAGCATCTTACCAAGTATATGACACAAATGAGTCTCAGGAGAGCCTCGCCTGCTTTGAAATGCAAAGCCTTCCATTTAACACTAGGCGGAGCCGTCGAAGTGTGGTACAGCAGGCTTCCTCCCCTAAGCATTAGAAGTTGGCCAGATTTGAAAAAGGCATTCTTGAATCAGTATCTCTCGTGAAGAGAAGGAGAGGCCCCAATGCAACGCCTACATGACATGAGGCAGGCCCCTGGAGAGATGCTAAAAAGCTATCTCGCCAGGTTTACGGACGAAATCATATACTGCGAATAGGTCACTGACAGAGAAGCCCTTTCAGCCTTAAAAGGCGACCTCAACATGAACACTTTGTTCTGGAGGGACGTGCGTAGCAAGAATCTTTCCATCTATAACGAACTCATGGAAATGATGAGAGTTGAAATCGTGAGTGAAGAAATGATTGATCATCGAAACCGTGTCGTGCAGGGACTCCCTTCGCCTCAGAGGCAGGTAGGTCGAGGACTCGCAGCACACCTTGTTACTCAGCAATAGACTCAAGCAGGACACACAATAGCTCCCACCTCCGGATAGGCACTGGCTTCCGCCACACTAAATGCAGTGCCTGTATTGGCATATGAAAATGCTCCTGGCGAAGCGGGGCTATCTAGAAGAAATGATAGCAAGAAAAAGAAGAAGAAGCTATCAAACAGGCCCTTGGAAGGGGCAAGGTTTTGCACTTTCCATCAACTCTATGGGCATGACACCAACGAATGCAGAGACGCTCCTTGATACCCAGACCGAAGCGACCCACATCCCTCCAGGAGGAATGAATATCCTCACAGATCAGTCTCCTCGAACAGGGGAGACCGAAGGCACAGAGAGCATTCACCCCGAAGAAGAGAATCAAGGGACCAAGGAGAGTCCAGGCAGAGAGATCAGGCCCCATTTTCTGGGGGCCAAATCATCAGGGAAATCAACACCATCATTGGAGGACCCCATATCGGTGGCAACACCAGGAATGCCCAAAGGAATTATACAAGGGAAGCAAAGGACTCACCAATGATCACTTACATTGTCAATGAGTCCCAAGAAGCCAACAAGATGACCCCAATTACCTTTTTCCAGGAAGATGCGCAAGGAGTTCACCATCCCCATTGCGACGAACTGGTTGTGAGAGTCATAGTAGCCAGAAACAGGCTCAAACGCATGCTTGTCGACAATGGCAGTTCGGTGAACATATTGTTTGGCTCCACCTTTAATAAAATACAGATTGAATATGGGTTGATCCCCATGACCTACCCACTATTCTTATTTACTGGGACAGCATCGTCCTACGAGGGCGGATCACTCTGCCCGTCGAGATGGGTTCGGCACCCCTGGTGGCCCAACACTTCATGGAATTCTTAGTGGTAGACCACAGATCGGCTTATCATAGAGTATTGGGCAAACCTGCTTTGAAAGATCTTTGCGCCGTCACTTCCATCCACTACTTGTGTATGAAATTCCCAACTAAATATGGGATTGCTACGGTCCGAGGCGACCAGATGGGCTCCAGGGATGGTGGGAATAGATCCAAGGATCAGTTGCCACCATCTTAACATCAACCCCTCTTGTGCTCCCCATCGACAAAAGAGACGTGCCCTCAATCCGGAGAGGTACGAGGCACTGAAAGACGAAGTAAACAAACTTAGACACAGTGATTTCATAAGGGAAGCCATCTACCCAAAGTGGATATCCAACCCGGTTCTGGTGAAAAAACCCAGCGAAAAGTGGAGAGTGTGCGTAAACTTCACAAACTTGAATAAGGTGTGCCCTAAAGACAGCTTCCCACTTCCAAGGATAGACAAACTTGTGGATTCCACTGCTGGACACGAACTGCTGAGCTTCATGGATGCATACTCAGAATACAACCAAATACCCATGTTCCGACCTGATGAGGAAGCTACGTCGTTTATTACGGACATAGGTCTGTACTGCTACAAAGTCATGTCCTTCGGATTGAAGAATGCCGGAGCTACATATTAGAGGTTGGTCAACATGATGTTTACCAAACTCATTGGCAAAACCATGGAGGTCTACGTGGATGACATATTAGTCAAAAGCCTCAAGGCAGCTGAACACATAAGTCACCTCGACCAAACTATTTAAATACTTAGAAAATATAAGATGAAGTTGAATCCCCTCAAATGCACCTTTGGAGTGGCTTTGTGTCAGTTCTTGGGATATATTGTCAATCACAGGGGAATTGAAGCAAATCTAGTGAAAATAATAACCTTGCTAGA